TGGTGATTTTGTGGCGGTTTGTTGTGTGGTGACATCTTGTGGTAAGTGTGTGATGCTTCTCTAGTGTTTCTAAAGTAGAAGTGTGGTGATTCTTGSTGTTTTTCCCAAGGAAAAAAGTGTGATACAATAAGTGTATACCATCTGTTTGATAGTTTTCCTAAGTGATACACTGGTGATTTCTTCTCATACTCATGGGTTCATCAAGTAGTAACATTAAACCTACAGTAGTTGTGGAACCAGATCTCATGACTTTTCAATTAACTATGGTAAAACTTAATGGTACTAATTATATTCCATGGGCCAAGTCGGTTAAGGCATCTCTCATTGCAAGAGGTAAGTTGAAGTACATCAAGGAGGGCCCATTGAAAAGTGGATCGGAAGGGTACAAGAGAATGCCCAAATTATTTGACTTCTCTTTGGGACAGTATGGAGAATCATATTAGTGCGAAACTCATGTTTCTCGACACGATCAAGGAGACTTGGGACCATGCCAAGCAGCTGTATTCCAGACAAGACAATGCCACAAGAATTTACTAGTTATACCAAGACTATTTTTCTCCTCAACAAGGGGATAAAAGTGTTGAAGAATACTATGCTTCTTTAGAAAGCTTAAGGAATGAACTTAATGTTTATCAACTCCTATCCACTGATTTGAAGACACAACAAGAACAAAGAGAACATCTAGATGTTGCAAGGTTTTTATCTAGGTTGAGTTTTGAATTTGGACCGGTGTGGGCCCATATCTTAGGTAGAAGTGATCTTTCATCATTGTCTAAGGTTTTCTCCTGCATAAGGAAAGCCTCAACTCCACAAAGTGATCATGCCCCACCTTCAAATAGATCAGCCATGGTAGCTTCTAGAGGAGGTTTTACTGGTAGAGGTATGTATGGTAGAGGTGGAAGTAGTGTGGGGAGTTTTTGCTGTGGGCCCAGGGGTGGACATGGAGGTGGTAGAGAGGCAAGAGGTGGTGGTGGTCGCAGTGATGGTAGCTGTAGTTCAGTTTGAGTGCTCACATTGTGGACGAGCTTCAATTTGGCTTGACTTAAAAGCTCATATATTCAAGCTCGGCTAGGCTCTAGATTGAGACAAGCTCATATATTCAAGCTTGCGAGCTTCACAAGCTGCTATTTGGTGGGCTATTTATCTGAGTAGAGGAAGCTGTGCTTCGCACCTTGCCAGAATTTGAATGTTCGGGTCTCCTCACTTCCTGGTTGGCTGGATATCCAATGATTTCATAACAATGCTCTTTGTGTGTCCTATTTCCTTACAGTTATCACACCACAGTTTGGACCAATTGTTAGTTGAAGAGTTGTGTGGGCATCTTTGGCTGTTGTGGTATGCAACCACTGCATCATAGTTGGTGTCCACAAAGAAACAAGCATTTGGTGCTTCTCTTCTTGGGCAATGGTTCCATGCTCGGAAAATTAAACTGAATTTTGTTGAAACTATCATTCATGCCCATGGGAAAATGATAGGCCTTCCCTCTTGCTTTTGTTGCAACAAATTCCTTAGCAGCACCCAAGGATTTAAATATCGATACAATACGTCCGATACGGGGTGTATCGTATTGGTATCGGATTAGGGTGATATAGGATGCGTTACGAATGGAAACATATCCTGTAAATCATACGTATTAGACCGATACGAGTGCATACGCAACGTCTTCGATTAAAAATGAAAACGCTTCTAATAGCGTGATTTGAACCCGGAACAACGTGCACGTGGCTTCGAAAGCCTTAAACTCTCTGTCAAACCACTTGACCATGCCATGCTTTGTGATATTTAACAAAATAACACAAGTTTTATTAAAGTCTATCCAAATAAATAATCAATATTTATGTTTAACAACTCCAATTAAATATAAACAAATGGAATAAATAATCTATCAATTCTATATTTACATCAAAAGTAGTACCCGAAAAAAATATATTTACATCTAAAGATGATTTTAATCTCAAGAAATTTATACAAATAAAATATTAATAGTAGAATAATTACCTTACTACTTAAAATTTATAAATTTGCACATGCTATATATCTTACAAATTTTAAATATTTTTATAATTATTAATTAATATTTTAATTTACATTAAATGACAACATATTTATTATTTCCAAAAAATAAAAATTTGTTTGCAAAATATTCAAGAATATAATATTAAATTGAATTTATCAAATCCACTAATTTACATTTATATGAAAAATTGATTTTTAATTTCAAAAAAATATACAGATAAAAAACTTAATAATAAATTATTATTTTAATAATTAAAAATTATGAATTTGCATATGATATATCTTAGAAATTTTAATTAATGCATTGTATGATATCTGTCCATTCTGCTATTAATTATAATATATTTTTATGTAGACAATTAAATATATATTTCTTATATATTTATACATGATTTATGGCTATTTGACCATAAATTTTGTGTTATTAATGCATTTATGAAATTTGAATGTGTTTCCCTAGTGTATCCAAGTTTTTCATATTTTTTTGTTCGTATCCATGCATTTCCAAAGCGTATCAGTATCGGTATCCGTATTCATATCCAAGTTGTTTGATACGATACTGATACTTTAATCCTTGGCAGCACCATACTTTAATCCAAGTTTGTCCTATAGGATCTTCAATTTTGTGAAATTCACAGTTACAGAGAGATTACCTTGTTGTAGTAAGGCTGGATCATGTTTCAACTGATGTGTACGTCCAGCGCTCCCTTGAGAAAACCTCTCTTCCAGACTTTTCCACATCTCATGTGCTCTATCAGCATACACCACACTCTTATGTAAATCTTTGGAGAGGGAGTTGTATATCCACCGGATCACCATTGAATTACATTTCATCCAGGTTTGTTTTTCAGGTGATGCACAGTCTGGACAGAAGGGATTTTTTTTTGCTGCCCACTTTGTCCCACTCATCTGTGTGCTCTCTCTTTTTGCCTTGCAGGTACAGCTTGTGTAACTTCTGATGCTAAAAAAATGGAAAGAAAAAGAATTGGTTCCATTGTCTTCTTATTGATGTCATTCCATGCAGGTCTTGTTCAAGAGGAGAGCATTTTTTTTTCAAATAAATCCTGTGCTACTTATCTCTTTGGGTCATCCTTTCCACCTTCATTGTTTCAAAGTTCTTGATTTGTGATATTTTATCTAGTTTATAGTCGCTTGCTTTTCTTATCCATTTGATCCATACGAACCCTAAACATTATTTGAAAACCCTGGTTCTTCATCAACTTCTCCATATTACTTTCACTATTTATTCAGTTTTATCCTCCTCAAGGCCCCATATGGGAAATTTAAAACCTTAATATGAGTGTAAATAGACAAGCAGTGGTGTTGGGTGAACATCCTCTACAATATGAAACTAATTCTTTTTTTGTATTGCGGGGGGGAGGTGTTCTAGGAAGCAGCTGGGGAGATATAAAACATGCTTCATTTGGAGTTATATATTACATACAGAACAAATCTGTGTAACTACACATTGTGCATCATGGCATTATTAATAAAATTTTCAATTACTGATAAAAAATTTTAAACCTTAATAATCAGTATGGGAAATTCTTCTTTCTATTTCTCCCTACAACAGTGGTTCACAGAACCTTGCATAATTGATTCATTCATTCACATTAAATCCCAATTGGTTTAATTGCTTAAAGCAGTCCTTTGGTTACTGGCCCTTGTTTGTTGATAATGTCGTTGATTAATATGACACATTTTGAAGGATAGGTCTATCCAGCTAGGTACTTTTATCTCTAATATCTTATTTGGCTTAGCATTGGATTAAATACTACAAGATCCAAGTTCCTTCCCATTCTTTCCACCCGTCAATTTATATGCTTTTTCTCAGTAACTCAAGTTATCCATGGAGGACTGACCTTCAGGCCCTTTATTGACATATCTAGGGCATCTCCAAAAAACTCTTCCTGCTGAACATGGTATATTTTACCAACAAAATATTATCAGTTCTTTACAATTACATCTTTGAAAAGCATTAACTATATAGTTTATATTCTAGATCACACTATATAAATATCACATAGTTACAATATTGGCCCCCATTGTTTGCTTGTATATATGTGACATTCTCTTATTGTCTAATTATGTGCAGTGACAGTGGACAAATTTCGGGAAAGGTGTTAGTGTACAAGAATCCTGGCCTTCATTTTGGGGATATACATGTCTTAACTGCAACATATGTCAAGGAATTGGAGAGTATTGTCGGAAATGCTAAATATGCCATTTTCTTTCCTATAAAAGGGCCACGCTCGTTGGCAGATGAGATGGCAAATAGTGATTTTGATGGGGATCTGTATTGGGTTTCAAGAAATCCTCAGGTTGGCAGTAATTAATAAACATTTAATTTAGTTTCCTAGTTAACAAGTTTTTTCCCCTTTGTAAATATTTGATTTCTCCGTTTTCAAAAAGTTAAAAATACTGGCTTGTATTTTTGTGAAGAAACTAAAATACATACATCAGATCCTTTGTACAAAGAGAATCTATACAAGAGGTCTTCCAACAAAATTTAGATATATTAAAAAGACAAAATATCACAATGTACCAAAAAGACATTCATAATAAGTGCCCAGAACAAGTGATTTACTGCCAGCCAAGATCTTAGCAGGGTACCAGCTGTCTTGCTTAGGACATTGTTTTCTGTCTTTAACAGAAGGAAGAAGAGATAGAGAGATCAGGACAACAATGTTTACTGTCATGAACATGCATATTTTAATTAGTGTGCCAATATGACTTGTCATTTTATTTTGAAGGAGAGACTTAAGAGATTAAACATTCTCTCACTACATTAACTTATATATCAGCACCGGCAAGATTATTGTCAATATCCTGCCTTTTAAACTGAAGTAACATTTAGAGTTATTATTTTTATATAAAGTTAATTAATGTGGTGCCTACTATATGTAGTACAGTGTTCAGTCATTTGGATCATCATCATCAGTCATGCTAGTCTAAGCCTCATATGATTATTTCTGTCAACCCATTCTGATCTTGTTTTGGCTCTGGCACAGCCTTTGTTCCTGTACTTTGAAGGATGCTCCTTTTTTCCTTCCTTATTATCAATTAGTAATCCTTATTGGCTGAAGTAAACAAGACAAGAAGAGAAATTAGAGGTAGAAGAGAATAATGATGGAGAAAGGATAAGAGATAGATATTTTTGCACACTCAAAATTCTTATTGGCACATGGTTCTCTTGTATTTATTTGTATTGGATAATCATAGTCTTGTTATGAGCAACAAATTAGATTTGATTCAAGAGAAAAACCAGAAAAATAAGAGAAAATTTGGAAGTAATTGATATAAGAAGTAGAAGAAAAGAAAAAAAAAAAGAGAATTTGAGAAGGAGTTCACCCTGTTCTATATATAGTGCTGCCTATTGTAAGTATATGTCCAAGGAGAAAGACTAAATTACCCTTGTTTTCAGTACAGAAATAACATTGAAATGTAACTTAGATGGTCAACATACAGAATTACAAATATACCCGAATTGAAAATACTGAAATGTCCCAATTGCTCCTCACTCTACATGCTACTACAAATGTACCAGTATGGTAAAAATAACCTCATCCCGTCATTTTAACAGTCTTTTAACCATTAAGTTGTTATGATCCCCTTTCAATATGGTAAATGATCTTCATTCTCCATGAACATTGTCTAGAGTCTTGATAATTGTGATAAATCATGCTCCAAAAATAAGGACTATATAGACGTTTTCGTTCTTCAAGAATTGACAAAGTTTTGATTTGTACAATATTTGTTATATGTTGTCGTGTCTTTTCCAGCTATTGGATTATTTTAGACCAAGCAAACCATGGAAACAGACTTATTCAAAGAAAGCACCATGCCATCGGAAGCCAATTGATTTTTCTGCTGAGGAATTGGAGAATCAGCTTTTCCATCTGTTCTTAACAACTAAGTTTGAACCTAGGTAAGGACACTCCTATAAAACTTATTCTGTGTTTATAACTCTAGGTTATCCTTATCCCATTCTATGTATCTATTTTGAAAAACTGAGGGGTCAATCCAAAATCTTCTATCCCTTTTTGTAGTTAAATTTTAGGTTTGCTTGATCATCTGTGTTGTTTGCATTATAAACTCCACCAACCTGGAAATCAGTAAGTTAATTTTAAGCATCGTTTCATTTTGAAAAGAACCTATTACTACTTATCATATTTTCTTCCACCTTAAAGTAACCTCTAATTCATTAAAAATTTTCCAAGTGCTAGTTTCAATCAATGATCTTTTCTAAGGATGCACAAACATATATCTATTGCTTTCACTTATTTAAAATATAGCTACTTTGTACTTACGTCATACTTTGCCATCTTAACAACTGAAGTGGTTTCTTTTCTCTCCAGTAAGGCTTTAGGTATTGCAGCAGATAGCTGGTTGGCATTTATGGATAGACTCTTGACATTAGGAGATGAATGTTCTTCTGAGAAGGAATGTTTGAAAAAAAAAATGCTTCAATTGGTTGATACATATTATGATGCCCTTGATGCACCAAAAAATGGAATTAAGGTTAGTTATGTTACTCTTATATGCCAAGTCTCCATGATCTGTTGTTGGTAATTCTGTTCCTTTTTTTGTAAAATTTTTTGGATTGCTAACTAAAATGCTTTATTAATTCAATGAAAAATGAATATTATATGTAACACCTTGTATCCCTTGGTGTAGGCTGGAGCAAGGTTCAAAGTATTGATACGATACACCCTGTATCAGGCGTATTGTATCATATCTTTAGGGGTCCGATACACCTGTTCACAGGTGTTTCGGGAACCCTCTTTTAATGAAAAATATATATAAAACTGAAATTTGAAAAAAACTAAAAAAAAACATAAAAAACGCACGGGTTGGAGTCCTCAAAACAATGATTTCCTATTCATGTCTATAGTGCCATGATATGTGGCTATTTGTTCATCCAGCTCACTCTGACTATTGATTCCCCCTCTATTACTTTCTTCTCGATGTTTAACAACCTGGCTAGTGTCAGTCCTTGTGGTACTGCTGATAATTCAACTCTTAGAGAGTCTCCATGACAAGTTGGGCTAGACCGCTGGAGCACAATGCTAATATAGTACCATTTGCATCTCTAAAGGCTATCTGTTCTGGAAGGCCCTGGATTTCCAAAGAAGCTTCCTTCAAATTGTAGCTTTAATCTGTCATTGCTAGGTAATAGCTAATTCATTAGTCACAGCTCTTATGGTTGATGAATCAGCTACCATTTACCATCCTCTAAAAATGTTATCTATGGAATATGAGCAATATGTGTCTTTATGACTGCATCCATGGCTTGATTTTACCCATTGAAAATCCTTGTGTTTCTTTCCTCCCAATCTCCCATATAGTTCATAACAGTGCTACCCCAGTGCTTCTCCATGTAAGTCTCTGTCTTCTTCTTAGCTTTTAAGGTAGCCTGTTCTGTTGTCAGTATATTATTGCAGTTTCTCTTTCAGAGTCATGCTGCGAACTGAAAGAAGGTACTTAAATACTTTCTAAATAAATAAAACATATTGTGATATAGGAATCGAGATTTCATGAAGTGCCCTTGATGCTTGACAGCTTGTAAGTGTTCGTAGCTATGGCCATTCCCATGCCAAGAATTTTAGATTGGGAGACAAGGTAGGTAACTAGAATGTAAACGTGACAATATTTGGTCAAGAGCAAATCTTCGTTAACTTTTGTAACACTTGAAAGCAATGCTTAGTTCTATTTCATTAGCATTACTATTGGTTTGATAAAGCAAACTGTAGAGAGTGATCTGACATAGAAACACCACTGTCAGTGATTTAGGATGAGATAGTAATCAATGAATTTAATCTGGCATTTATTTAGAGGTTGGATGCACTGAATAGGTTATGCAGAATACTAACTGGCCTCCAAAAAGAACATATTAAGAACTTGAAACTTGAATCTATAATTCCGGGGTTTAGGGAATAGGAGAAGCAGCATTCTGGAACTAAGGTGGTGTTTGGTAGTGCCGGAATGACCTTTGAGCTCTGTAATTGTTGCTCCTTGGAGGTTAGTGGTTGTTTCATTTAAATATCTGGACATACCTCTGAATTCTGAAAATGTTAAAATTTCATAGGTGGTTTCCTCTCTAAACAAATTCAGTACTAAATCAAGAGGCTAGTTGGACAATATTGCCCTTTGACGATTTAGCAAATGAATTGACCATTGAAGTTCCACATAATCTCCTCATATAATATAATATATAATATGCTAATATAAGATTGGAGGCTTTGACAACCCTTATACTATTCGGAAAAGGCATTTTGCCCTCAAATTAAAACAAAGGGCCAATTTAGACTTTAGATTTCAAGAAAAAGCCCAACTGTAAGCAGATAACGCCGAGTGTTAGTGACACCGTTCACAATTCGTTAAATAATGAATAAAATAATAAAGGTAAAATATAAAAATCTCCCTTGAAGTTTCTTACAATCATAAAAACCTCCTTTCAACTTTTAAAAAAATTGACAAAACCTCCCTTCCGTTATTGACTCAGACGGAAAACATTTACCTGTGCATAATTTTTTTCCAAATACCCATTTTACTCTTTTGTAAAATGAGTATTGAAATAACTAACAGATGAAGAACGGTGACGGAGGGTTTCTTCTTGGTCTGTACGAGAGAGAGATGGAGTTGGGTTTGAGATAGGGAGACGCCTCCAAGGCCTTCGCTTTTGCAGACAAGAGTCATAAGGTTAGTGCCAAAGGTCTAGGGTTTTGCATGGGCTTAGGTGTTGGGATTGTTAACAGTAGAGAGGACGAGAAACTAGAACCTGATGAACGGGATTCTGCTTTAAGTGATGTAGATGAAATGGAGGAGAAAAAAGGATTCTACCAATCTGCCTATTCAGCTTGATCTTCTCCCTCCTGGTCCCGTCCCTCGTAACCCTCCTTCGCAGCTATGCTTTCCATGGCCAACTGAAAATGGTAATACCCGATGTGGCCAAGTAGGCCTGTAAATGGATCGAATTCGAATCGAATCAGGCTAGATTTGAATTCGAAACCGATTATGAACACTAATATTCGAATTCGATTTGATATCTAACGGATATCAAATCTTTGAGTTCGAATTCGATTTCGATTATCAAATTGAATATCCGATTCGAATTCGACTAAAGAATCTGAAAATTTTTGCATAGCAACCATTCTCTAATACTGTAATCAAATTACCTTGGGAAAAGAGGCATGGGACGACGGTAGGCGTGGGTTGCAGCACAAGAAGGTGATGTTGGCGATTCACACTGAGACTGAGAAAAGAAGATGATGGGTCCCAGCAGAAATCACGGGTTGTAGGGTGATGATTGAGAAAAGAAAATGATGATTCTCAGTCTCATTGTCATTGAAACTGAGAAAAGAAGGTGAATAGTGATGGGTTCTCGACTTCCCGACGGCGATTCAACGTCTCACTGTCATTGCGACAGAAACTGAGAAAAGAGAGAGAGAGAGAGAGAGAGAGAGAGAGAGAGAGAGAGAAGTGATGAGATGAGCGACGATGGCGATGACCGGTGATGGATCAACGGTGGTTGCTCGGGCAGCGTCTAGCGACGACAAAGGGAGTGACGGAGGTCAGAGGATTAGGGTTTTACACTTTTAGGGTTTTGAGAAGATGAGAGAGAGGGGGTAAGGAGGTCCAGGTTTGAATGAAATGAAAGAGTTCGATGTGATTTTTGAACTCATTAGTCATTTATTTTTTATTTTTTTAATCTTTATATTATATAATAATATAATATATATATATAATCGGTTGGGATATTTATCGAATCAAAGCATATCCGAATTTGATCCGATAATTTAATCAGTAAAAAAATGTATTCGAATTTGACTGAATATCCAATTCGAACTATCGGAATTCGATTCGATTATGCCGAATCTTGGATTCGAATTCGAAATTATAAGTGGATCTATCTCTCCTTCTTCCTCGCGTTTTCCTCTGTCTTTGACAAGCTCGAACACAGAAATGTTGGAAGGTTCATTGATGCCCTGTAATTAGCATGGCATTTTAGATGTTGATGTTATTTTGGCAGATTAACAGTTCCCCGGAAACTACTGCTTCAACACTGCATCTGTATAGAAATTGTGGGTTAGATAAAACTTTCCCGTGATCATGGTCAAAACAAAGACTCACATGTATCTTCTCTTTTTGAAAAATCAAACCCAGGATCCCCATTCTGTTATCTTGATATCCAAGAAACTTCGTGAATATAAATAAGAGCTGAACGAGTAAATTGATAGTACCAGAAACTTTGAAGATTTATCATTCAATTTCATTCTTTGCAATCAAAACGTTCAGAGTGCTGCGAGATTTAGTGTTGATCTTTCCATTACAAGGGTGATAATAAATAAGGAAGATGAGCAAAGATAGGAAGGCGAAGTGGTACTCACCATTCTTAAGATCTTTGTCTTCAATTTTCTACGAATACAGAAACTATGACAATATTGCGAAGGGGCTGAAGACGCTATTGCCTTCTGATCCGGAGGCGATCATGATAGTTTATTAGTTGTGGCTACACATTTCTCTACCGCCCATAAAGTGCGATTAGGCTAATCTTTTTTCCCCTACTAAGGATACTAAAATTTCTGTCCTTCCCATTGTTTTTCATTCCTATATATACTAAGTACTGGTTCAAGTTTGGGCTTTCGTCTGAAAATTAGTGTCGACAAAAAGTAAAAAGCCATTATTTTAGCTTAATAAAATTCGTTTAGTGGTCTTGACCGGATTTACACGTCTATTCTGGATGAATAATCCTGTTTACTGAAACCACGGTTAACACTTGTTCATCATGTTGACCAGTTATTCCGAGTGCTCTTGGCTCTGATTCCATGCCCAAACATGATCAGAACTAGAATTACTCTTTACGTTTTATGGGCCACACATCGTATGACCAAGAGAAAGAAGCACTTCAACACTGTAATAGTCAGTCACTGAAAAAAGAGGTAGCTTGAGCCAACCACAGAGCAACACAGAGACGTGTCATATAAGTGCTTTTGGAGCCTGAGTTCTGACATGGTTTCAGAAGACTAATTTTGATGAATTGGAATTGCTGGTTTGGGTTGTGGGAGAGAGATCAAACATCAAAGGTTTTTATTTTATTCGGTGGGATCCACTTACAAATTTTCATTATTTAACGGATTGTAAACAGCGTCACTAACACTGGGCATTATGGTTGGCCTTTTTTTTAAAAAAAAAATCTAGGGTCTAAATTGGCCCTTTTTTTAATTTGAGGGCAAAATTGCCTTTCCAAATAGCACAAGGGTTGTCAGAGCTGTTATCCTTTTAATATATTATGTGTGTGTATTATATTATGTATGCATGTATGTATGATAATATAATACATAATATATCAAAGTTTTGAAAGGTGTAGGCCTCAAGGCACTGAGGCTTAAGCCTGAAAAAGTTTCAAAATACGCATAATTAACTACTATATATATGTGGTTAATTAACTAATTTCTATAACTACAATAAACATGCATTATCATCATCATTTAAGCCTTGTCCCAACTATATGGGGTTGGCTACACGAATCCTGTTCTGTCATTCCATTCCGTTTGTTGTCATATAAAAGGGCCATTACCCAATGTTGGTCCCAGCCATTTGGGTCTTGGGAGGGGTGGACTAGATATGGAGTATGGACCTAACCTTTGGCATTTTCTTTGTACAAAGTGGTCATTATCAGATTCAAACCTGCATTCTCATGCTTGTTAGCCCAAGATTTTACCATTAATTATTGGACCATTAAATCATTTCTCACTACTTCAACTACTGACCTTTTTGGTCTACCTCTAACTCTTCTAGCCCCTTCTACTTGTAATATATCATTTCTTCTTATTGGTGTTGTAAATGGTCTTCTCTGCATGTGATCAAATCATTTTTGTCTACTTTCCCTCATTTTATAACCTATTGGAGCTACTCTGAGGTTCCTTCAAATAAGTTCATTTCTGATCCTATCTAATTTTTCCGCTTATCCTAATCTTTTATCTGTATTCTGTACTTGGACTGCTTTCCTGTTGGTTTTAATAAAATTATCTGTAATGTTTATCAAATGAATCACTACTTTCAGAATTTAAATATGTAGAAAAATTGTTTCCAAAAAGCATATATTAAAAACTTAAAACTTGAATTTTGCATTTGCATCACTGAAATGATAAGTAAAGGAGCTTCATCTCTTTTCTTGAACTTGGAGTAAGACTGTCACTGGTAAGAGGAGTTCCACTTCTCTTCTGGGCTTGAAGTAAGGGTCTCATTCCTCTGAGCATCAAGGGAAAAGCATGAAGATACAGCAGACAATCCATAACTTGGCAGAAACAATGTGAGAGATGTCTCAACTATACTTAGCATCTTTTTGTTTTTTTTTTGTTTTTTTTTTTTTTTTTTTTTTTTTTTTTTTTTTTTGGGGGGGGGGGGGGGGAGGCAGAATGGGTCTGGACTCCCAAGGCTATATTGAACTCTGTTGGACTTTGACTACTCTCAAAAGAAGAAAAACATATCTTTTTTATCAAGCTGTTTCTGCTTTCTGTCCAGCAGTAGAATATTTATAAGGTCTAAATGGAATTGACTAAAAGACCTGCTTGCTACAAAAAGCTGACTGGAGGTTCCTTTAAACCCATCTAAACTGCAAGTTATTCCAAAGGACTAAAATTTGGGCTTTCACTGTATCAAAGTACCATCTAGGATTCAGGATGCTTTGTGCATGGCAACCCAGGTAAGCACATCCTAGGTCTGCTGCATCACGACTCATGCTAATTTCTCAATCAACTAGCAGCAGGTAGTCATAACTTGTTAGGGTGACCTTCATGACAGATAGGTTGTGAGCTACCTTAAATAATCTAGTTGGAAAACAGAGATAGGTTGGACAACTTGTGAACTGCCTTAAATAATCTAGTTGGAAAACATGTTTTCATATGATGTGGATGCTGATGATAAAAACCATAAAGTTAACTAATGTAAAACACTACAAAGAACTTCTGAAACCCAAAAATGACAAAATTTGACTCTCTAGGATGGGGTATGATGCCCTCTAAATTATGATCTTAGACATTCTAATTTTGGTTCTGACAAGTTTGATCAGCTTGCTTGATTCTTCTTAACTAGTGGAACAAGAAACTGTTCAGGCCTTTGTGAAAATTTAGTCCTGAATCCTATCTTATGACAAAGATTAATCTTGATTCAGACGGTTGAAACTCGTTTTGGATGTCTTTGATTCTATTTTTCATCTTCTGACTTTTTGCTTCTCCAATGTACTACTATCATGATTTAAATCAGTTATTGATGAGCTTGCTCTATAGGCCAGGCCACTCAGATCTCATCAAGCATTATGGTTAGGTGCACTTTATCTTGATCTGATTTGTTTAGATTAAATGTGGACAGAACATCCACAATAAGTTAATTTGATTTGTCAAAATTTCAAATTTTTGATAGATTAAATTTGGTTTTCATTGCATCATTAGATTCTTAGTTCTTTTGACATTGGTGACTTTTCTGTATCCATTCCTCCCCTCATCTTGGGGAGTTTGCCTTTTTGTGTAGGTGTTGTAACTAGGGTTCTGGAGAAGGTCCAACTTGCTGTTTCTTTTCTGGGTACAAAGACTAGCTTTTTTGAAAAATATAAACATGGGTTCTGGTTTCAGAAATGTTTTGGGGAATCTGACTAAAACAAACTTAAAAACATGGATTTGAGGACCTGTGCAATAAATGTAAATGATCATCTATTCCTTGGAGCTTTGCCTTGAAAAAGAAGTTATTCAAGAATTCTGGAGCATCAGTGTTTGATGCATGCTCGACATACACTTTCTCCATTTAGAAGATTTTATGGAACACTTGTCAAAAATCCACTCAGTATATTGGTGGTTAATCCTAAAATTTATGGGACTACTCATCCATTCGGAAAGGTTTGGGGTCTAGAAAGGAATCGGATTTATAAAAGAAAATGTTGATTATATATATAGCATGAGGATGTTATGATGAGCGAAACATCTCATTTCCACTTTGCATATCATACTCTGTTTCTCATCTAGCTGCTTCATGGCATCAATACACTTTTCATTTTTTTTTTCTCTTGCTTTTTAATGACATAATGCATATAATCCCTTTGTACTGCAAGTTTCTTTTAATGATCACTGTATGAAGTAAACTTTATTACAGAATCTTGTTTTAAATGATTGTTTTTACATTATAATCTGAAATTGAATCTTAATCTGCATCAAATGACTCTTCCAAGCTTGATTTGGTGACCTTGTTTGCTCTTTTTTTACCCAAACAGGTTGAAGTTCCTAAGTGCTTGCAGGCTGAGAAATTTCCACATTTCATGGAAAGGATGAATAAATACAATTCAACTTCTGTTCTCGGATTAATTTATGATGAGGTGAATTCATTTCAAAAAGCAAATCTATCATCAACAGGTAACAAATGTGTTCATACAGTTAATAATTTGAGATTTACAGGCTTGAACCTTTGTGCAGAAAATAATATAAATTTGAAAAAGGGATTAATTACATCCTTCCAATGTTGTAAGATTCAGTCCGGAGAGGACAGTCAGACTATGAAAACCATGAACCAGCAGTCATTTCAGTGTTTTAGAACCCTGGTTTTTCAAATTTCTGAAAATTGGCTGACCCATCAAAAATTGGCGAGAACATTGAAAAACCATCCAAGTTTCAATGACCCACATATAAGTTATGAAATGGCAATGACAAGATTTGAACCTGTGACCTCTTTCTTGTGTGTAATAACACACTTCCATTGATTCATCACACCATTCATGTTTTCTTTTCTCTTTAATATCTATCTATATTGATCAAATATGTGTACATTCATGAATATAATGTGAATTCAAAGACTTGAACCCTGGTAACTTGTTTTAAACCATTTAGCCACTACCTGTACATGTGTTAAAACATACATAATTTTATATCTTATCTATATGACGTCTTGGCTCATTGGGTCAACCCAGTGGCCAGACCGTTTGTCCTGTGGCTCAACAGACATTCCGGTTTTGTGTCTGGTCCAAGTCTTTAAGAAGGGGGCACATCACTAACCAATTCAGGCCTCAGGGAGTACATGTTTTAAAAGAAAATTACTTTGTAATGATTTTTATCATTATAAACAGGGGTTTCTTTGTCTTTTCACTAGGGATATGCCTGGTTTATCAAAATTAAAGAATGTAACGTGCCCAATTCATTCTCCATTTGAAAATACATTGTATACATTCACATTAATATGAATCAACTAGACTGGCTTTCCTCACATGATATTTCATTATGTCTCTCTCTATTTCTATGTTTTGCCCCAACATAGATATAAATGATTCATTCTATGAGAAGTGGAAAGTTAAACAGTGACTGGATTAAACTTACATAAATACTTCAAAAGATAATTATGCAATTTCTGAAAGTCGGTGTTGTTACTGGTTTAGGGCCTCCATTTTCAGCTCCGTTGGAGCTCAGACCTTGATATGAGTAACTAGGGCCAAGTGCAGTGGTGGAGATCATCACCTCAAAGTATGCATGTCAGGAGAGGAAAAGGAAGCAACATAACGCCGTAAATTCATCTCTAGGCACTTTTTATCAAATCTAAGCCATGGAATATTTTAATTGGGCAAGAGTAGGAAGTATATAACGCAAATGATAGGGAGGGGAGAGGGGGTAGAGAATAGAGTAGTGTAATGCATAATAGGTGGGTGGGGTGAAGAGGGGTTGGGTGATGAATATTTGGGAGAAATATTGAATTATGGTTTAGGTCTGAGCCGTAATTCTGATATTCAGTAGCACATGTAGGTTTATTTTTGTGGAGGGCCTGATGATTGAATGCTATGGACTTATTTTCTCAATCAGGTCCCATACATTACACCCAGTATCATCCAGTGCCGCCAGACCAACTGCAGCACTAACTAGTCAGTCAATACTCATGAATCATGATGCGATCACCTAAATGACTAAGCATCAACTAGGTCAACTAGTGAACCGCAAAGCTATTTTAAAGCTTTATTTGTTTGTTTCTACCTTTTATTATTTGAAATATATAGACTATTTTAGTTATCAAAAAATATATGGACTATGTATGCATGTTATATTCATTATGTTGCTTTAAATATTTGTGATGATTGGTATATAAAATAGAAAATTGAAAAAAAGAAGGCAGTGAAGGAGTCCTTCTAAGTTTTTTTTTTCCTATCAATGGTTAATCGATATGGAGTTGCCACGAACAAAAGAAACATCTAATAGTCAAGCTTCCATTCTTCTTTAACTATGGTTGTCATTCCCTATCCGGCCTGACTTTTTATTTGTTTGCAAAACAAAGACTGTAAACCAAATGTTCAATACCCTTCTTTTCTTGCATAATTGTAATATTTATTTACATATTATGAGATTGCATCAATATCTTAAATTCGGAACATGTCTTTTTTATCAACTTGTCAGCACCTAGAAACCATGCCTGTCTTCACAGCACAAGATTTCTGCAGCGCTTAGTAACTTACTTTCCCTACTCCGCACCCCCCAAAAAAATGGTATTTTGTTCTTTTAAATTTGTTAGGCAACAACACAATTCCCTTGTACTTGGTCGCATTTGTTATGTTTTTGGGAGGGAATATGAGCTTATGGTGGTGTTTGTACTTCTTTTCGGGATTACTTTTATTGATGAGTTTGTAGGGGAGGTGATGCTATATGTAAGAGGTTGGATGATCTATTTTCTTTTTTTTTTTTCTTGCTTGATGATTTCTGATCGCCTATCTCTGTACCTTAATTTTCTTTTAATAAATTTACTTTTACTATCAAAAGAACCTTTTGGGGCTTTTTCTAGGTTTGACCCTAGTAGAAACTTTTTGGTCTTTTGCATTTTATTAAATTTTCTTTGAGTTAGACAATCTTGGTTGGGTTGGGTATATTCCTTCTATTTATTATGTTTCTCGTCTTCATGAAATATGCCATGCGGCCTTGAATGGAGAAGCTACCAGGTCAGGGTGAAAGATCTCTGCCCCAAGAAAATATTTGAGAGTACAACAAAACAATGTACCTCAGGGGTGCTAAGTAGATAATTATCTAAATGTACATCCCAAGAAGGATTTCATGTCTCGAAATTCCCAACTCCTGGTTACTGAATCTTTTTTTACTGTCCCTAGGTCTCTGTGTTAAAGAACTTCAGTGAATAAATCTAAAATCCTTGTATGATCAGTTGACACTTCTACCATTGTGTGATGCAGAAGTATGGAAGCTCTTTTGTTTTGATGGTGAAGTTGCTGAAGCTTGCATGGAGAAATGGCAGATGCACTATAATGAGTATCGAGATGAAATGAAAAGTGCGATGGAGCTTGATGGTGAGGCCAAAAATGCATCTGCAAACGAAGTTATACAAAAGTATAAGCAGGTAATCTTTTTCCAAGTCCTCATGCTTTTCGTTGTGCTCCAGTGGCTCCTCTCCAGTTTCATAAATTAACTGACATGCCACTGCAATGTAGCTCTTATATGGTGCAGCAAATTTTGAACAGAGTTCAAGAACGAGACAGGAAATATTTGAGGATTCTCTTGCCATTTATCATGTTTGTTATGACTATGCAAGGACCAAAGGGGTTGAGAAGTGTAGTTTTGCTTGGAAAGTTGCTGGCGAAGCCCTTTGTATGCTTTACACCATAAAGCAGGATGGAGGATCCATCATCTGTTCACAATCTATTCTACGCGAGCTCCTAAGCTAATAGAAAATTCATTATTATTGTAATTTAAAATTTAACTTATGAACTATCTTCTTGGTAGTGCTTCGCACAATATTTATCAAGGGGTGGCAATAAGTTCCTGGCTCTGTTTTGGAAGAGTGCAAATGCCGGTTCATTGCATAGATGTGCTTTCGTTAAGATTTATAGATATTTGATAAGAATACATTTATGTATTTAAAATGGAAGTAAACATGGACTCCAAGACATGTCTGCATTCAAAATGAGAGCAAAGTTTGCATCCAGAATCTCATTGCAAACTTTGCACTCAAAGTTGGTTAATTTTAAAAGGTAGGTTTCAGTCTTGGGATCTGTGTTTGTACCTAACACAACAAAAATTCAATTGACAAGATTATTAAATTATAATCACAAAACTAGGCTAACTTTGCATTTTTGTGAACTAGAAATATTTGTGATGATGGGATTCTTTGAAAGTAAAAACTCCACACTTCAAAAGCATGAAAATCCAGTCACACATTGGGAACATTTCTCCATGAATTAAAAATACATGTACAAGGAGAAATTCTTACTGTAGTTGAATACCATGTTGGTATTGTTTTCAAAGTTCTAAATATCGATAGGCCCGATACGCCGGTAAGGGCATATTGGGCAGTATTGGAATTGCTTTTTTATTTTTTCTACTTTTTTTTTCAAATTTGGTTCATAGGGGCTGGTTTAAGGTTCCTCCACACCCTCAGTAGGGGCATATTGGGGTTATCTCGATACGGGCTGATACATAATGACTTTTTGAATCTTAATTGCTTTTGCTTTTCAGGGTCTCGGCTTGACATAGTAGTATTTGTATGGAACATTTTTTTTTGTATTTGTACTCTTCTTAATCCGAGACCAAAAATCAACTCTGGATTTCCTACCCACGAGAATTTTGCCCACATCTACGCATAACACATTATCCCCCGGTGAATTGGGAACATCTCCCCTTACATAATACTATGTAGAGATGAGATGTTCTCTATGTATGACTGATAAATGTGGGCAGAATTTGTGTGGGCAGGAGATCTGGACTCCCAAAAATCAAGCCTGCATCTCAGGAACGTAATTATAAATTATAATAATAAACTACTTTGCCTTTTTTTTTTCGAGCAACCATTTTGCATCATTACTTGGATTTCTGTATGAAGAGATGAACAACACCCCATTAAGCATTACGGCATCCCAGTAATTTGGGTTCATTTCGCATGAATCCCGCTTTTGCACCATCTCTTCTGTCAAATTACAGGGTCTAAAATCTTCTTTTCCTCAAATCAAATTCTTTTAGCCATACAGATTGCTTTTGGAGCTGTAAGCCTGCACCAGGTCACTCTTAACTATGTAGTTTTACACAGAGAAACTGTGTTCCTTTGAAATGGCAGATGTGACATATCTCCTTTGGAATGACCAACATTTCATGCAGCATTGTCTCTAGGAACATTTTCCGTATTAACTAATTGATTGGTTTTTGGATGAATATTACAAAATGCGGATTTCAGCTGCTCCCTCTCTACCTTCGGTGAAGCTGGGCTTTAGTTGAGACTGCAACTGAAAACCGTTTTAAGTTTCTATTTGTTATAACATGAAATGAGTGGGAAGTATTTTAAGTTGAAATATTTGAACTATATATTTTGCTTCCTTTACAATAAAGATTATGATTTCCTTGCATTTACAATGAAACAAATTAAAAGGGCAGAAAAACAAAGTTTTCTTTGTAAAAGCAATACATGAAATGTTTCAGTAAAAAAACACACACACACCGTGCAAAAGATCTTTTGCTACAATGCAACTTTTAATGAATTTTTAATAAGGTGGGTGAACTAGGGCTGTCAAAGGCTTTATGGGATCAGGCTTCATATGACCTAATTATTATAACCTTTTTGCCGTTATAATCTATAACCGACAAGCCCAAACTTGCTTCTATTACAGGTAGATCATGAGGGAAACGTTATTCCTTTTGATAAGCAGAGAGAATCCTAAGAAGCGTTTTAGAGAGCTTCTGTCGTAAATGTGGATAAGCCCAAATTTATCCGTATTTGAAGAGCCTAGGACTGAAGTGAAGCGTCCAAGTGGCTATGACCCATTCCATCTCCATCTGTACAGTTTTCCGGTTGCTTGTGGTTGTTACATATGAGCCAACTCTATTGAATTTAGGAGTGCTTTTTCATCTAAACAGACAGGCTCATGGAAAAATCACTTTTGGAAAAACAAATTTCCATTCATTTTTCAACATCTTTTTTGTTCGAAATAGCCTCCTGCGAACACAGAAGTGAAATGGGGAGAAATATTTCCAAACGTGGTCTAAGTAAACAATTGAGATTATGCAACCTTGGGAAGCTCATTTATTGGCAAACTTTGGAACAGAACTGGATAAAGGAGTTCAGCTTCGGTCAGGGCAAAGCCTGTTCGAGAAACCTTTACCGAGTTCACATCTCCGCCCCACAAGGAACAACCACCCCACAATGTCCCACAGCACATCTCCATCATGTATTGTGAACATCTCCCAATGGTAGTACCAGTCCCGATGATGTCATCATCGGGAGATATTCCTAATACACGGCGGGGATGTGCTGTGGGGCAGAGATGTGGTCTTGCCTTTACTGCCTTGCATTGAGAATATTTCCGTCTTTATATATTTTATTTCATGGGAAGATATTCCCAATGCAAGGTTGCAAAAAGCTATTAGAACACTGTGAGCACGAGTTTGTCCTGACAGAAGCCGATCTCTGGATAAAGAAGCTCAATTTTGTCATTGGAACTTTTGGATTCACATGCATGAATATGCTGTTGAGTTTGAGAGGATGCCTGTAACTAGTATTGGTATTTTGAAAGGAATTAGTATCTCCTGCCAACAAAACGTATTGGTCCAACCCTCTACCAATGTGATCTGACATTATACATCTAACTATGAGATTGGGATCCCACATAAAAGTAAGACCTGCCAAAATCGGATTTGGTAGTCCCAAGACTGTTTACATTTGCACAGTCCTTTGCAACTGTGTATTGAGAATCTCTCTCCATAAAAATAATATACAACTATGATAATGTTCCCAACGGTTCTGTGAGGACTGAGTCCTAATTCAGATTCTTTTGAGTTGATAGTAGGGTTTTGAGACGTGTTTTGTTGGCAGGAAATCTAGATTCTTTTGAAAGCCAGAATTACATACAGATCAGAGCGGTGAAGCTGCGGCAGCCAATCCGGATTTAACCTGCTGGACTGCTGGTTGATGCAGCAGGTGTGGATGAGTTGGTTTAATGAAACAAAAAATGAAGGGTCATCAAGCAGTTGTGTGGAAGCCTGACTAAACCCTCAACAGTCAACATCCCCAACAACAAAGAGTTTAAGAATTCAACCGTCGGTGCTGATTCTCATTACAATTCACATGGCCGTAGCGGGTACTGGTACTTTAATATTGTGTTAGTAAGATATCATCTTCCATACACAAGCATGGAAATGTCAAATCACATGAATCTCGTGTGATTCTCTATATATGCATCTTTTCCATTTTCCTTCTGCTCTGTTTGTACTGTAAATCTAAACCAGATACAAATTTTATATCCTAGTTTAATTTTGTTTCTCTTTGATTTATATCTCTATCTGAAGCAAAAGTCGTACCTTGTCTTTTTTGTCTTATTTGCACTCACTAGTAGTATAATATCCCAAAATTGATGCAAAATTTGGATCACCTTTCTTCTATCTCAGTTATTTCTCATATAAGGTGGGGAATGAATCATCTTATTTCTTGGTTCTTATCTCATTCTCAAACAAGTAACCCTTTTTATTAGCTTTATTCTCTTCCACAGTTTCACATAAGGTGGGATCACATTATTTTACAGCTTTTTTCACTTGTGACAAAGTCAAATCTGAACCAAAAATAAATCAGGATTTACATTCAACCTATTTGCACTCTCATACATTTACACCAGTGCAAATTTGTAAAAAAAAAATGAAATTTCGTGGTGCTTTTTGTTTGTTTGTTTTTCTTTTTGTGATATTACACGTTAGTCATTACTTGGTCAGGTTCTCATGCATATTCTTTTAGTAAGCACATTCAATGAACACAATAAATATTCTGACAAATGTATCAAAATTTTTTAATCTTTTTCACGAATAGGCTGGAAATATTTTAAGGGACAAGTATCCAAGAATTCTTCTAAGTGCTTATTCAATGTACTCACCATGGGTGCCTACCTAATCCCGACTGATTTCTTTAGTAAATCCAACTATATGAAAACCTTGGCTGTATTAGTTCTTGTAAGCCTCTTTGTGGCATTATCTATCTCCAGCACTCGCACTACAGCTTATGCAATAGATTTCAAAAACATTTTGGTGTATAGATTAGCTGGAAGCATAGGAAAAAATGATCCAAACAGGCACAACAGCAGGCTCCCAGCCAAGCTCTAACCCTGGCATCCATCAAAAATCAAATAAGAAATTTTTAATGCTAAAGGCTTCACGAAGACAAACCTTAAGGAATACCCTTCATCTTTGAACTACTACAGCCAAACCTTAAGTTTGGAGGATCCAAGGCGCTTGGGAAAGGATTTGCAGCATCACTCACAGAACAAAGGAGGGTTTCTCTCCCAAGTAAACCCCGGGGGCTTTCCGATCAAACATATATAAGAAACCATAAACAATTAATAAATCAAAATTAAATAAATGACACAGAAATAATTTAGAATACATTTGACTGTCCGTCCTACTCCTACCTATCTTTTTACAATATGAATATGGTTAAATATAATAAGTAAACCATTAATCTGGTAATTTCCCAGTTCTATAAAGGCCTGTTTGCATTTTGGGGAGTTATTTATCTGTTTCGCAATAATGATCATTTTAATTATAAAAAGTCATAATTAAAAGGGATAATATTGTCTCATCTAAGTGTTGGCAACTTTCCCTTTAGGTGAGAGTTATTTATCCACCTAGAAAATGGGTATTATAATATTTTTACAGACTTCACGTAAATCTGAAAAAATATAACATGAGTATCTTTAGTTCTCATTGACCAATTTTCCCCCTCTCAAAAAAAAAAAGAATGGGCCCAAAGTTGAAGCCCAATTTTCAGACAGAAAACTGAAAAGCTTTCTATAAAACTGT